AACGATGCTTGCTTAAGTAAAGCAGCAAATCGAACGCACAGCATTGAATAGAGTTCTGTGATTGGTCCATTTGTTACCCTGTGCGTCCACGCGCACTGTGAGACCTCATAGTAATGTTTGTGAATACGGGCGTAAAACTAAACGACAGCGTCCGCCAAAAGAAGAAGTTGTCAGTCTACAGACATACCTACTTACTTCATACACAACAAATTAGTCCATGTAGTCAGTGCAATAACCATCACAGTAATGTCTTCCACAAGGGCCCCATTGTCTTGCTAACCGTTTAGAGACAAAGTACTAAAATAGCTTTTTCACCTAAGGCTGAACGCTAAATAAGTCCACTTATTAAGTCGACTAAAGACAAGTTTGTGAGTTTGAGCTTATGTCCCCTACTACTCCTACACGTTATTTAAAAAAATCTTCCATCATTTGAAACGTGAATTATTCCATGGACAAAGCTATTTATTAGGTATAATTTCAATGTCTACTTATGATATAATAGCTTTTGCCCGCGGCTTCACTCGCGTGAAATTTAGTTTGTCACAGATCGTCATAAATTACCTATAGCCTATATGTTAATTTGGGTTATAAACAATAATTCTGTAAAGTTTCATCAAAATCCGTTCAGTAGTTTTTGCGTGAAAGAGTAACAAACATCCATTCATTCCAACAACAGTGGGAAGATAGATTTTGTTCAGTCCAGTTTATTGTAAGTTACTACTGCTATTTAGGTATGTAGGTACACAATATTCGTAGAATCCCAAAAGCGATCATTATCGTCGTTCGTTCGTTTCAGCCAAATGACGTCCACTGCTGGACAAAGGCCTCCCCCAAGGTTTTCCACAATGAACGGTCCTGCGCTGCCCGCATCCAGGCTCTTCCCGCGACCTTTACCAGATCGTCGGTACACCTAGTAGGAGGCCTGCCCACGCTACGTCTTCCAGCCCGTGGTCGCCACTCAAGAACTTTTCTGCCCCAACGGCCATCGTCTCTACGAGCTATGCAGGCCGCTACCAACCGTGCGATGTGGAAGTCATTGGGGGAGGCCTATGTTCAGTAGTGGACGTCCTGTGGCTGAAATGATGATGAAGAGGATGAAACAAGGTTCAAACTCCAAAAAGAAACGCGAGCGACACCGCAGACAAAAGCTAAATAACTACAAAGATTTTTCAGTGTTTACCTAATAGCTTGATGCGCTCTGTTAATGTCAACTCGGTTTTGCCCAATAGTAGTTCATTAAACGTTTGCGGCGCCCTAAGTCAAAAATAACCGCCATTTTCCTCTAAGCGTTCCTTTTAGTGCAGCAATTATCTGTGGAGTGGAGACAGACAGCGCTAAATATAGTGCTATTGTCTTGGCTTGGCTGGTTTGACTCCATTCATTAGTAGGTACTACAAGTGCGAACTACCTTACTACAAACACATGGATTGTTAGCAGCTTAGCAAAATCTGTATGTACCGTCGAATAACTCGTAGTCGTATTCTTTAATCTTCATGTTATAACGATTCTTCATTCAAATACCTAGCATTAGGATTAATGCCCGTTTTCTCCATCAATCCCTTAAGCGTTTCTTAATTAAGTATCCCTTAGGTGTTGGTGAAAACAATTCCTGTTCCTAATTTCACAGGGGTCACTTAAAAATTAGGGATTGATGGTGAAAACGCTCATATAGGCTGCCGCGACACAAGCACAGCTTAGTGCAGCAGCCGCTAGATAAACAGACTGTAATTTTTTTGCTCGCAAATAAAATTCTTTTACTTTACTTTTACTTTACTTACTATATATAATGTCACTTTACAAGTATTGCGCGATTATCTGCGACAAACCAATTTATACACGCAGCCATGGCACAGTAACTTGGCCAAATGGCACAGGAAATGGGACAAAAACACCTGATTCCGAATCCGCGCAAGAGCCAAGAGTATTTCCGCAAATTCAAACATAGAACACAAAAGTAGAGAATGTAGGTCGACTCGGGTTCTAAACTCAAATTCAAAGCCTTAGCTTTTCGTTATCCACTCTTGTGAATGTATTCTATTTTTAAATTTATTGTTTTTCCTGTGGCTTGCACCACGTTGTGTAACTTGGACCTTCGAGCCAGCGTGTAAAATAAATTCACTTTATAATTTGCCGTTGTTATAAAATAATTTAAAATATCTTACACAATTTTCTTATTAAATACTAAGCAAATTAATAGCAATTCTTGAAAAATTGTGCAGTAGGTAAAATTATAAAAGGAAAACATTATAAAAAACAATTAGCTACGCACGTTGTTCGTTATGTACACATTCATGCTTAGCAATTTTTCAAGTATTATACCTGTTCCCCGTGGCGATGAAATTAAGACAAAAGCATTTAAGACCTTTAAACATTGCAAATAATGTGCGAGTGTGGTCAAATTTCAGTGGGTAGTTAAGTATTATAAACATAACGGCGAAGGCTTTCAACAGGTACTCGCGTCACCTTTGACATTTACGAATGGTAGGTCGGGGAGATCTTGGAAAAATTCAAATGTTACATTATTAAGAAGCATTACTTATCTTTCAAAAATGGTTTATCTAACTTGCTTGGACTTTAATTTATTGAATCATGTTATAAAGGCATTCATTTTTTATTCGTTTGTTAATGAATAAAAGGGATTTTATCAAATTATCAACATAAAAGAGCTCGAATTATCGACATTAATAATCAATAATTAGCTTCCAATCTTATCCATCCTCATTTTCTTCTTAGAAACGTAAATCTTTTGAGATAAGACTGTATTTTGCGACACAAAATCAAAACTGCCAACTCTAAGAACTTTTTGCAACAGAAAAAGAAATAAAAAGGCCAAACAAAGCACTCCATGCAGACATTTATTTCCTCACCCCCCACATTCCCGTCGGCATCCGTCTTCGGGCCCCCGAACGTCAAGCCCCTGGTGGTTTCGTTCATGATCCGGACCTCCGCGGCCGTGGCCACGCTGAAGCCCAGTCCACGCCTGGATACAGTCGCATTCCACTGCCACATACACAAGTCCACCACAGAACCGTTCACCACTGTCTCAAAGTTGCAAAACACTCCCGTAGCCTGAGAAACAGGGCTATGCCTGTTCGTCGCCTCGTAAGCCGGACCGCCTCCTCTCAACTCCTTCATCTTCCTCGATAAAGGATCCGATTCGTTGTCCGGCGTAGTCTTCTGATTCACCGCGATGGCACCCTCGTTGTCGTTCATCATGTTATTCATATTGTGGTCATCGTGCTTCCGAGGGCCCAACGCCTCCAAAACTTTCCGCAGATTCTGCTTCCCTCTCCGCGGCTTCCTGCTATTATCCTGCCCTGTCCTGTTCGCCATAAACTCCCCTAGTTTCTGGAAGGACCCTCTACTCGCCGACCGCGACCTCTGGTCTTTTTCCGTCGCCAGGGTTTTCTTCGCTTTATTTTCTGCTTCGACTTCATGGCTGTACTCGCCTATCGCGAATACCACGACGGTCAGGATTATGATGAGCCTTCCAAGCGCCATTAGTAATGTATTGCGCTTAGATAGCCGACTTTTGCGTAAATGCCGTCCGGGCTGGGATATGGAGCATTTTGCGCGGTACGCAAACTCTCGCTACTAAATGCAAGATTCATAACAAAAGTTTGGATGGCCAGCGAGAGATTAATGTTCGCGACTCGAGGCTATCGTACTGCGAGGCGCGACCTCGGGCGCTGTGCCGGCGTGGAGAATATGGCCAGATTCCAACGGCCGACGGTCGATACGCTTCCAACGCACTGAATACATGTTCCGAAACCACTTTTCATCGCATTTCCATTGTTAATGTCCGAAATCAATGGAAAATCACTTGAGGCGCAATACGCCAGCCTCACACGACCCGCCCGCACATCCCTGGCAAATCGGAGCACAAATGGACGACGATGCCGATGCGAGCTAACTTCGCGGACACAATTCCAGCCGTTCGCAACCTATTTTCAACTAAACAACGCACCACAATCACACCTCTGTGTCCACTTACACTAAACGCATCCGCAATTTTTCAATTTAAACCACTGATAATACGTTTTAACAGTCTATAACGAGGTACATACATCGCCATCGCACTCCCGTGCGCAGCGCCACAGCGGGAGTATGCGGAACTAGGCGCCCGTGGACCGAAATAATCATTACTTTTCGCGAGATGTGATCTTGGAGTGGCGGTCGAGGGATGCTGCGCGAATGTCACCGAGACTCCAGCCCTTTCCCGGGCTTTCCGCGCAGGATGTCGCTGCATCAAACACCGGATATCAGATTGGCCCAATTAGGATCGTGCTCACGTCAGCCGTCCCTGATTGGCTAACGACTAAAAGGAACGCTTCTCATTGGTCCACGGCGAAATTACCGCGAAATGGAGCCAATAGGGAGACAAACCGGATATTGCATGAAGAAAATTACCTCAGAAAATTGTTTTCGCGTATGGCGGGCGGTCGTTTTTTGCCGACAGCCTGCGGAAATTGAATTGAGGGTGTTTTTATCGGCTCTATGACCGATCATTTCCACGGCGTAATAGCGTTAGCAGCTCGGTGGGAAAATTAAACCTATATTTAGACGCCGCGGAATAAAAATACCCAGTTTTTCTGCAATGTTTTGTGATCAATAACTCGCACAATATCCTGAATAGAAATCTGTGCGTCAGTTTAACAATGAAACTGTATCAAATTGTAATATAGCTTTTATCAGTTTATGATATAAACAGGTAATTACAATTAGATAAAAATATCGTAAATCAAGAGAACAATGAATCAAATGAATGACAGACCTTCGCTATTGAGAACGTGCGTTCCGATACACGTACGTTTGTGAATTTTACAAAAGTGTTAAAAAACGAAATTACTCAATAATTTGGTCGTTTTTACTTTTTTTTAATGTTTTTTTGCAAATTTAATACAAAAACAGTGATTGTGATTTTTAAGAGTGCGATTTAAAAATATTTAAAATAATAAACCAAACGTCATTCAGTGAAAAAATACGCCGAATTAGTGATTCGGAACGCCGCACCACTCCTCTGCTTTTATTTTGATGTGGTCGTCTCAGTTTTTAAAATAAAATTAGTTTAATTAGACCGTTTAATTAGGCAGTTGTTGTGTAAATAATAAGTGATAATGTGCTTCTACTACGTACCAGTGACTATATTGTGATGTTCAGCTGTTATACCAAAGAACCTGCATTGTTTACACGGTAAGTCTAACTGTATCTTTGCCCTTAATTTTTGATGAGATCTCGTGGTTTTTTACTATTTTTGTCTGCCAATTTATTACCGTCTTTTGTTTTGCGTATACTTTTAATAGACAGTCATTTGTTTGAACTTGTAGTTTTTATTGAACGAATCATTGTTCTGTGAAATTTTTTCGATGGTAATGTCACCTACTTACTTAATTTTGCAAGCATGACTCAAAACTAGGATATCCTCATTTTCTCAGAAATTTGCTCACAACATAAGTACTAAGACCAGTCTCAAGAGAATTTGTGATGTTATGCACACTTTCTATCTCAAATATTAGCATAAAAACTGCCTACTTAATCTAGAAAATAAAAATGATAATTTTCTACATAAACTCTGAGTACAACAATGTACTAATTTGAATTATTTAATGTAGACTCTGCCTTCTTAAAATGTCTTTTTAGAAGCTTTTTTTGTAAATTGTACATTTCATTTGATTACCTACCTACTTAATTATTTGATTGTCTTTTTGCATAATTCTTTGTATATGAATAGGTATACAAGTAACCACATTTCAACAATGACATAGAGATATTGATTTAACTCTTGAAATCACAGCGTAAATACTGAAGATAAGAAATATGTAAATGGTGTGTTAATAATTTAATACGTAACTCAATGACGGAATCCAATAAATTTTGTACAATGCAAAAACCCAAGTGCTGTATTGTCCACACTTGAACGAAACGGATAATAGAACAAATTAATAACAAAGAATTTACGATCATACTTCTAATAATCTAATCACCATCATAAGTTGATAGGCGGGAAAATCCAATCCCATTTATATCCGTTGTATTAACATACTATTTAGATCTAAAATACAATATCTTTATCTAGAGCTTTAAAAGCATTAGAATAATATAAACAAGTGCCGGTAGGATATCTCTGGTTTCCCTCCGATTAATCTAAGCATACATAAGTGACAAGTCCTTTGGTCTAAGATAACTTTCCAAATCATCATAATTATTATTAAATTGTGCTAAAAAAACACACTGAACGAATTGAAAATTTCCTCCTTTTGTTGAAGTCGGTCAAAAATACTACCTTTAATGCCAGTGTACACTTTGATTTGTCATTATTACCTTTTATTAATTTATTTCATATTCGTAATTATTCAAAACACTGATTAGGTATTATCTATAGATATTCCACACTCTACCTTATCATTTGAGTGTACCAGATTATAATCATGTTATTATTTAGATTGCCCGATAACGTCAATGTTCATGACTAATATGGATCAACGCCAATGGCCATCAATTTATTAGTGTATAATATTTTTCTTTAGAGATAAAGTACACCTGTATTTATTTATTTATTTTCTTGATCTTTTTCCCTAATACATTTTATGTGTGCAAACTATTTAATTAAATAAAATGCAATTACCATAATTAATCAGTAACAGTTTGATTCTTTTTGTTTATACATTTTCCTTCCTTGTGTTTTGTGTTCCTTTTCTTTCTGTTCTTTACTTTGGTGTGCAATAAAGTGTATTTATTATTATTATTATTTTCTGTTTGATGTCTTAATTGTAAATATTGTGAAAGTAAAAGTGTCCGAAACTATGACTCAAGTAATTTATTCGTACCAAAATAATTTACGTAACTGTATGTACATTCTTTCTGACTGACTTCATAGTTTTTGTTTTATCATTCAACAATACCACGGTAATATAGATAGTATTACCGTGACAATACCTAATCTAGATATACAAACACTAGCTGTGCCCGCGACTTCGTACGCGTGAAAAAAACCCGTTTTCGCAACATTTTTCATTATTGCAATTTCAAATCCGACCAGTTCCGGAGATTAGCGCGTTCAAGTAAACAAACAAACTCTTTAGCTTTATAAAATTAGTATTTTCTTTTTTCAGCCAAATGACTTCCACTGCAGGACAAAGGCCTCCCCCAAGGTTTTCCACAATGAACGGTCCTGCGCTGCCCTTAATTTAAAAATTAGTATAGATTGTTCATAAGGCAGTTGTTAAACTCTTCAAGGTTTTTAACGAAAATCAATGGAATATGCTGAGTATAAAAAACAAATCTGAAAAAATATTTTCCTTGTCGATTTCCTATTACATACTTAATGTGTGAATAATTTTTATTTTGTTCTCTAAAGTTTCCCTTATACATTTGTCATGCTTTTTAAAATAGAGCAATAAACTGACAAACTTACGCATTCCTTTATTATTAGAGTAGGCATATTTTCCACTTGTACCACCACTTAAAGATGAGTGGGGTTTCCTTAACTCGGAATCAATAGTAGTGAATCACTGTGAATCGTGATTTTCACGGTGTAATAATGTAGGTATTGTTTTTCAAGGAAACATAAATTAAATAGGTACTACTATACAACGCGATCGAGTTAAACGTTCGGCCAAACCAACGCGATCACACGCGATCAAAATCAAAAAATCAAAATCAAAATTATCTTTATTTGTTTAGACTAATTAAATTAGTTCTTGCAAATCGTCAAATGCTCTTAAGGAGCCTATACATGTCTCATTCTTTTTTTGCCCTACCAGCGCTTCGAGACAAACATTTGGCAAGTGCTGAGAAGAAGCGCCGCAACAAACTCAGTCACCACTGTCTGCCGGTTTAAAAATATAATCAGCCGGCGTGCAGCGATGGCGACCAGACTTAAATGCATTGATCACCATCGCTGCACGCCGGCTGATCGCGTGTGATCGCGTTGGTTTGGCTGAACCTTAACCAAAGAATACTCATACTCCAAGAGACCTTAGCTGCGCACCTCGCTAGAATGCGACTCTCCCTTTCACACACACATCTCCCCGCGTTCGTCCCTTTCGGCGTCCTGCCGGGCTAGGATGCGCTCATGCGCATCGTGATAAAATCTTATCGAAGATTTTTGACGATAAACGTATGGGCTTATCGCGTAAAATAAATAAACATCCTTGGACATTTTACACTACGCTTCTAGTCCCAAACTAAGCAAAGCTTGTACTATGAGTACCTACTAGACAACGGATATAAACATACTTAACTACTTTTTTTTAAATCGATAAAATGGCGCGATAAAAGCTTATCGAGCATCCTAGGCCTACTGTACAAGCGTTGATGCGACGTCACGGCTGTGCGCAGTTAACTCGATCGGTTTGTAGTAACCTTCCACAGGTACTAATATCACTAATATGTAGAATCAATCATTGGTTAGTGGGTTTTTTTCGAAGTAGGTCAGAAGAGGTAGTATAGGTAGGCCTCTCACTCTGTTCTGGTGAAGGTCGAGAGAAGCGCTTAGATGTGGGCAGCGCAGGTCATTGTGGTATTCTTTGGGGGAGGCCTTTGTCCAGTAGTGGTCATTTTTTTGTTGAAAGCAAGGCTATATTTCATGCTACTGATTTTTTAAAAGACCAAGTATAATATGTCAAGATTTTTTGTAAGGTAGTAGGTAGATGAAACGCACGATAGTATGTCCAATATACGCAACATACACTCGTTTCCATGACTTAGCAGTTTAGTGAGTTACCTTGAAAATTATTGCCAAATTGAGTTGCTGGGTCTAGTGAAACGACCCTGTCAAAAACTCCATTGTCTTGTCCATCATTATGTAATCTTATTTACTTCGCGAGTGTATCGTGTTTTACGCAAATGCGTATTATTCCATTGTTGTCATCATGAATCTACGTCACTACCAATCCACTTGTCTTATCTCAATGCAGTTTGCGTTCTATGTTCTATCTCTATTCTCGTGCCCATACACTTCCATCCCCATCACTTAGATCAGTGGTTCTTAACCTTTAAGTCACGAGGGACCATTTTACCAAATTTCTGTCTTGTCAAGGACCACTTTTTTTTCAAAATCCTATGAAAGGGGAGGTCGATTTCTCGCCCATTGTGCGCCGTTTGCAATGTGTTGACTCTACTCATCACGTCACGTCACTTGTTTATTACGATGTCTTCGCGGACCACTTCGAATGCCTCCAGGGACCACCAGTGGTCCGCGGACCACCGGTTAAGAACCACTGACTTAGATGGTTGGCACTGTTGGCAGTCCACAAAAGTAGGTACGTTTCTCTAGAAACTTCCTGCCCCGTACAACCAAACTGTGGAATGAACTGTCGTCTGTGGTGTTTCCGGACGGATACGACCTGCAGGGTTTCAAGAAGAGAGCGTATCTTTACCTTAAAGGCCTGCAACGCACCTGTAACGCCCCTGAGACTGCAGACTGACCTAAAAATACAGTCAGATCGACATCAACACAAAATGTATAGAGACCGATAATGTTGTTCAACATGATGCGGGCTACTCTCACTTTGACCAGAACACTGACCGTCACGCCTTCAGTGTGGCAAATCCTTAAACTGAGTCCAAACGAGCGTAAATTAAGACCTGTTTTTTGAGTCTACACAAAAGTTCTGTATGTACTTCATTCACCTCGACGCAAAATAATATGTTGGAACTTGCACGTTTATTAAGCTATGGAAATCACGCTCGTTTGGCATCAGCCTTAAAGGTTCGTTATCATCATCATCTCAGCCATAGGACGTCCACTGCTGAACATAGGCCTCCCCCAATGCTTTCCATGTTGCCCGGTTGGTAGCGGCCTGCGTCCAGCGCTTTCCTGCTACCTTTATGATGTCGTCGGTCCACTTTGCGGGTGGACGTCCCACGCTGCGTTTTCCAGTACGCGGTCTCCACTCCAGAACCTTGTTGCCCCATCGGCCGTCAGTTCTGCGTACTATGTGCCCTGCCCATTGCCACTTCAGCTTGCTAATCCGTCGGGCTATGTCAGCGACTAGTTCGTTTACGGATCTCCTCATTTCTGATTCGATCTCGTTGATTCCAGATAAAATGCACACCTAAGCCATGTCAGGCAGCAACTCGAAGCGGGCGGCGCGCGCGCGTCACTCGGGCTGGGAGGAGGCCGGGGGCGAGTTCTACCAGGAGCTGTATCCGGGCGGGGAGCAGGAGCTCTTCGAGAACCTGCAGCGCGCCGACGCGGCCAAGCTGGCTACGCTGCTGCCCTCAAAACAGGCTAGGAACAGTAAGTCCTTGGAGTCATCTTCATTGCTATAGATAGGAGGTCAAACTGGCGAGACTACTGCCTTCAAAGAAACTGGTCACGCTGCTGCCTTTAGAGAGGGAGCCCTACATCGTCATTGCTATAGGAGGCCACACTACTGCCTTCGAAGCTGACTGGCTTCAAGACTACCCTTCAAGCAGGCCCGGAACAGTGAGTACTGGAGGAGCCCTAAGTAGAATCACCACTGCTTCAAAAGCAGTCGACGAAACTGGCCACGCTGCTGCCTTTTGAGCAGGCCAGGAACAGTGAGTACTTGTGTTCTCTTTATCATTGTCATAGGTGACAAGCTGGCCACGCTGCTACCATCGAAAGTTGCTAGGATCATTGAGCTACACTACTACCTTCTAAGCAGGCTAAGAATAGTGAGTAGTTGCGTTTTGTCACTATATTGACACGCTGCAGCCTTCGAAGCAATTCTTGTAGCCCTTGTCACTATTACTCTGAAGTAGGACCGGAATAGGTCACACTCCTGCTCCCAAAACCAGCTAGGAACACTGAGCACTTGTTGCGTCAACTCCGCGCGCGTCACTCGGGCTGGGAGGAGGCCGGCGGGGAGTTCTACCAGGAGCTGTACCCGGGCGGGGAGCAGGAGCTGTTCGAGAACCTGCAGCGCGCCGACGCGGCCAAGCTGGCCACGCTGCTGCCCTCAAAGCAGGCTAGGAACAGTGAGTCCTTGGAGTCATCAGCATTGCTTTAGATAGGAGGTCAAACTTGAGAGGCTACAGCATTCGAGGGTGACGGCCAGCTAGCAACGTTGCTGCGCTCCAAGCAGGCCCGGAATAGTGAGTACTGCAACCCTAAGTAGCATCGTTACTACTCTAGGAGCAAGGCAGGATTAGTAGCTTTAAGTGGTCATGCTGCTGCCCTCCAAACTGCCTTTTGTCGTTATTATAGCCGGCTGAACTGGCCACGTACGCTGCTACCATCGATCGAAAGACACTTAGGAACTGCGAATATCTGTAGCCGTTTGTCACTGTACTGACACGCTGCTGCCTTCGAAGCAGTTCTTCCAGCCCTTTGTCTCTATACTGACACATCAAACTGACCCTAATATCACTCTAGAAGTAGGACAAGAATAGGTCACACTCCTGCTCTGAAAACCAGCTAGGAACAGCGAGTAGGACTTATAGCCCAAATCGAACACACTGCTGCCTTCTGAAAAGGTTAGGAAAAGCAGGTTAGGTACTTGTAGGCACACTGGCTTGGCCAATCTAGCTACACTGCTGCTCTCAAAACCAGCCAGGAACACTGAGCACTTGTTGCATCAACTCCGCGCGCGTCACTCGGGCTGGGAGGAGGCCGGGGTGAGTTCTACCAGGAGCTGTACCCGGGCGGGGAGCAGAAGCTCTTCGAGAACCTGCAGCGCGCCGACGCGGCCAAGCTGGCCACGCTGCTACCCTCAAAACAGGCCAGGAACAGTAAGTCATAGGGAGATCAGAGAGAAAAAGAGGCTTCTGAGAGAGACATTTGATTGTTGGCCTCTACAGCTATCCTGACGCGACTAGGCTGGCCACGCTGGAGCCTTCTAAGTAGACTAGAAACAGTAGGTAAGTCTTGCAACCCTTTGTCACTATAGGTACTGACACGGTCATATTTGTCTCACTACAGCTCTGGAAGCAGAAGCAGGAATAGTGAGTTCTGTCATCATTATAGGCGATCACACTGCTACCATCGAAGGAGGCAAAGAACAGTGAGTATCTGTAGCCTTTTGTTCACTATACCTACTGACACACTGCTGCCTTCGAAGCAGTTCTTCCAGCCCTTTGTCTCTATACTGACCCATCAAACTGTTCCTACTATCGCTATAGAAGTAGGACAGGAATAGGCCACACTCCTGCTTTCAAAACCAGTCAGGAATAGAACAGCAAGTCATGAATGCTCCAGGAGGGTTGGGAAGAGTTAGAATAGCTATTGAACTCAGATCCTGGATAGAGATAAAAATAGTTCTATCTCGATCCAGGTTCTGAGCTCTCGTATTCTACTGGTAAGAATACCATTAGAATACGACACAGAAAAAAAGAAGAAAAGAAAGCGAAGAAGATTTAAGTTCTCACAAAACTGTTTTCCATCTGTCAGTCTGAGCTTGCAATTTGACAATGTAATTAATTACAACAATCACATAACAACTCAATTTACCTTCCTTCCAGCGACCACAGTGAAGCGAGCGCGGTCACAGAATGAGCGGCGCCAGTCAACCTACGCACGCACCACTCAAAGCCGCGACATACACCTGTCTATGCTGCCGGATCTATCAGGTAACTTCAAGCTTCTTCTTCTTATTTATTTATTTATTTATTTTTGGGAAACATACAGTTACAATATAATTTAACTTAGGTGCAGTAAGAAAACACAAACCAATTAAGTTTCCACAGTTAAATCTTATAAAAGAAAGTCGTGTTAGTTACTCCACTTATAACTCAAGAACGGCAGAACCGATTTAGCTGAAAATTGTCAGGGAGGTAGTTTAGAGCCAGGAGAAGGACATAGGATACTTTTTATCCCGTTCGAAATAAAAAAAAAGTCTGCTTATTTATTACCATTAAGGCGGAACAAAGTTCGCCGGGTCAGCTAGTATACACATAAAGTTGGGCAAACCATTATGAATAAAATTTTGTTGTGAAAAATATAAACTTATATAAAAAAAAACTTCTTGTTTTGTTTATAGCCAGGTCTGGGATGTTACGGTCCATAAAGTGACCTCTTAATGAGGGCTATCGTTTTAGCGCTCACCAGTTGGCGCCACTGTAGAGTAAGGTCCTGTCACTTGCTAGTAGCGAAGACAGTGGCGCCAACTGGTGAGCGCGAAAGTGGTAGGAGGACTATCGCATTTGCACTCATCAAGATGGCGCCACTGTAGAGTAAGGTCCTGTCAATCGCTAGGGGTGCCAACTGTTAAGTATAAAAACGATAGCCCTCATTGAATTCCGCCAGTCACGTTAGTTAATGTCGACACGGTCTTCGATGAGGTCTCTCTGGTGTAGGGTTACCAAGTGTCCGGCTTTAGCCGGACATGACAAAGACAAAGACATTTGCAAAGAATAGGTTGATACAGATAGTGTTGTAAATACAAAGTGCTCTATTCTGCTAAAATACATTAACATGCAAATTTTTTGTCCAGAAATTCCTGAACACTGTAAAAGCAGGAAGTGGTCAGCCATTCCCTAAGCTTTCTGGTCATTACTTTTGCAGGACCTATTTTAAAACTTTCAGGAATTTTGTTATAAACCTTAATGCACATGGAATAGTAATTTTTGTGCCGAAAGTGCGATGTTTGGCTTTTTACGGTCTTGTCCGGCTAAATTTGTCCTGTCCGGCCTGTCCGGCTTTTGTTAGGCTTTTCATGTGGCTGCCACACCAGGTGAAAGTCGAGCCACAGAATATGTTGATGAATACAGGTGTTGGGAACACGATGATGACAGTACCAAGGATAGTACTCACCCTGATAGACCTGGCAACCCTACTCTGGTGGCGATGACGGATGGAAAACGTAGTGTAGACAGGCCTTAAGGCTTCGCACTCGGTGGACTGACGATCTGGTGTAGATCGTGGAAAGCACCTGCATGCAGGCAGCGCAGAACTGGTGGATAAGGAAATCCGTGTGAAGGCCTTTGTCTTAGTGAATGTATTTGGCTAAAACGAACGAACGAAGTGTAAATTACTTATGAGTTATTAGCTGACCCGGCGAACTTCGTACCTACTTCCAATGTCCATCAGAAATGATAATATAGGATTCTAAGGCCCAGAACAGACGGTGAAACGCACTGCAACGAAACTGCAACTGCTAGTTACTTTTGAGTTGCGTCTAAGTTTCTGCCATAGCGTCCTTTGAGAGACCACACATGACGCGACCAGTTTGAAACTTTCAGTTTCATTCATCAGAATCATCACAAAGTTGCAGTTTCGTTGCAGTTGCGTTTCACCGTCTGTTCTGGGCCTAACGGTGAAAGAATTTTTCAAATCGGTCCACTAGTTTCGGAGCTTATTCAATACAAACAAACAAAACAATCAAATCTTTCCTCTGAAAAATACGCCAATGCTGTCGCATTAATATTAGTGCATATTTATTATTATTTATACCATGTTTACGTTCATCACTCACGTTGCAACTGCGAAATAAATGATGAATCAGCCAGTTTAAGATGACGTTGCAAAGGCAATGGCCTACTGAGAGCATTGATTCTGCTAATTATATTGATTGGCATTGCACGAGTCGTTAGCGGGCAAATATGATTTGCTATTTGTTTGATATTTACTGATAATATATAACTCAAAGGTGACTGACATAGTGATCTATCAACGCACAGCCCAAACCACTGGACGGATCGGGCTGAAATTTGGCATGCAGGTAGATGTTATGACGTAGGCATCCGCTAAGAAAGGATTTTATGAAACTCCACCCCTAAGGGGGTAAAACGGGATCCACGCGTACGAAGTCGCGGGCGGTCGCTAGTTAACAGATAAAGAAGTTATCATAGCTATATTAAAATAAAAAAATATATCTTACTTACCAACCGGGCGATGTGGAAATCATTGTGGGAGGCCTATGTTCAGCATTGGACGTGCTGTGGCTGAAATGATAATGTATCTTACACTTTTTACCCCACTAATGCCCGTTTTCACCATCAATCCCTAATTTTAAGTGACCCATATGAAAACAAAATTCCTATTATGCGTTTTACCATATGGGTCACTTAAAAATAAAGGATTGATTGTGAAAACGGTCATAAGCGACGTAAAGGAGGGTCATGTTTTAATAAAATAAATAAATATCCTTCGACATTTTACACTGCGCTTCTTGTCCCAAACTAAGCAAAGCTTGTACTATGGGTACTAGACTACGGATATAAACATTCTGAAATACTTTTTTTTGTAAATACCCAGCCCAATACAAACAAATATGTTCATGCACACAAATTTTTGTACTGTGCGGGAATCGAACCCGCTACCTCCGAAATAGTTGTCCGTTTCGAACCACTACACCAAACGGCCACCACCAAAATAATTTACTGAGTTTCATCATCATCATGATTTCAGCAACAGGACGTCCACTGCTAAACATAGGCCTCCCCCAATGACTTCCACAGAGACCGGTTGGCGGTCGGCCTGCATCCAACGCTTTCTTTAAATTCGATTCGACAAAATGTTTCGTGTCGACAACAAACCTACACAGTGTCAGCCCAAAACTCCGCCACAAGAGTGGCGTTGTCAGCAGCACTCATCAAATCCTCCTGAATGCAGTTGCTTGGGCACTCAGGGCACGACATCAGGTGCTTCATCAAAATGAAATTCTTGCAAAATGTTTATTGAATTAATTAAATCATCGACTATATTTAATTCAGTACGTGGACAAATATGTTCAGGTATGACAAAAATAGATTATTCATTCGCTGATCAAGCAAATAACAGCATGCAGCGCTTACGTAAGTTGCAAAATAATGGAATTTAATATTTCGACGCCATTAATTGATATAAAGTTAATCAATTTAGTTGGTAAAATAGTGACGTCATTAATTGTATTGTTGTTGCTCTCGTATTATGTATTCTGTGATTGTAGTTTAGTAGATTGTCCTTCCTTGAACGGATTTTCATGCGGTTTTTACCAATAGAGTGATTCGTGAGGAAGGGTTATTTTGTCAAGGAGAAAATAGTAATAGAAGGAGAAAACCATAGATAGTTTTTATCCTAGACTAGCGACCCACCCCTGTTTCGCACAGGTACAATGTATACTTAAAAACCTTCCTCTTGAATCACTTTATCAAAATATGTTGCGTAGTTTTAAGATCTAAGCATACATAGGGACAGACAAAAAGGAAAGCGACTTTTTTTTGTAATATCGCACAATTAGAATGAAAAAGTGACTCATTTAAAACATTTGGAGTATCGAACTCCACACTATGTATAAATATCTCCATAAAAATAAAGGTAATGTTTTTCTGTGCCAGAGTATTCACAAACATTACTATGAGGTCTCACAGTGCGCGTGGACGCAAAGGGTGACACACGAACCAATCGCAAAGCTCTATTCAACGCTGTGCGTTCGAATTTCTGCTTCACTTAAGCAAGCATCGTTTGTGAATACGGCTGAAAGTCACACAGCTACTAAACTATAAAATAAAATACTCAATTTAATATTACTTATTTACAGAAAACCTGTCAAATGAAGAACGCACGTGGGAAGAGATCATGCAGATCAAAGCCATGCCGGTGCCCATGATACAGAAGCGGGAACTCAAGGCGAGGCTACAGGTGAGATGCAACCATATTACAAGGCTATAAGTGTTCATTTAGCTCAGTCTTTCCCAAAGTGGGCGATAACGCCCCCTTGTGGGCGCTGCAGGCTTAAAGGGGGGCGGTAAGAGACCCAGAAAAAAAAATCGGGACGTTGTGTAGAGGCTTGGGAGGCGTCATCTACTAGGAGGACTCTTAGACACCGACTGAGCTCGACTCTTGACTACAAAAATGGGACGGTGAAAGAATTTTTCAAATCGGTCCACTAGTTTCGGAGCTTATTCAATACAAACAAACAAAACAATCAAATCTTTCCTCTGAAAAATACGCCAATGCTGTCGCATTAATATTAGTGCCTATTTATTATTATTTATACCATGTTTACGTTCATCACTCACGTTGCAACTGCGAAATAAATGATGAATCAGCCAGTTTAAGATGACGTTGCAAAGGCAATGGCCTACTGAGAGCATTGATTCTGCTAATTATATTGATTGGCATTGCACGAGTCGTTAGCGGGCAAATATGATTTGCTATTTGTTTGATATTTACTGATAAAGAAGTTATCATAGCTTTAAAATTGTACAGATAGACGAATTAAATTAGTTCTTACAAGTCATCAAATGCTCTTAATGAGCCTATACATGTCTCATTCTTTTGAGTTTTACTGAGTTTTAGTCAAACATTTGGCAAGTGCTGAGAAGAAGCGCCGCAACAAACTCAGTTACTACTGTCTGCCGGCTGTTTAATATCAGTAGTTCTCTATCTTTATTGTAATACTAGCGGTCGCCCGCGACTTCGTACGCGTGAATCCCGTTTTTCCCGCTAATTCCCGTTCCCGTGGGAATTTCGGGAATTCCTTTCTTAGTGCACCTCTACGGTACCTAAGCTACGTCCCTTCCAAATTTCAAGTGCCTACGTTTAGCCGTTTAGGCTGTGCGTTGATCTGTCAGTCAGTCAGTCAGTTTCTCCTTTTATATATTTAGATTAGCACATATTTTCCCTCTTATTTTCTGCGTTTGCCTCAGTTTATAGGAACTTGTGGGCATATGTCATCATTTAGAAAGAAAGAAAGAAAGAAAAAATATTTATTTACTGAGTTTGTTTAGGCGCTTCTTCTCAGCAGTTGTTAAATGTTGGTTTTGAAGTGCTGAATTTATTTAAAACAAATATGCAAAATTAAAAATTGCAAACTCAACAAAATGTTTTTAAATTAAATCATCGACTATATTTAATTCAGTACGTGGACAAATATGTTCAGGTATGACAAAAATAGATTATTCATTCGCTGATCAAGCAAATAACAACATGCAGCGCTTACGTAAGTTGCAAAATAATTGAAATTAATATTTCGACGCCATTAATTGATAAAAAGTTAATCAATTTAGTTGGTAAAATAGTGACGTCATTAATTGTATTGTTGTTGCTCTCGTATTATGTATTCTGTGATTGTAGTTTAGTAGATTGTCCTTCCTTGAACGGATTTTCATGCGGTTTTTACCAATAGAGTGATTCGTGAGGAAGGGTTATTTTGTCAAGGAGAAAAACATAGATAGTTTTTATCCCAATCTATACTTCTATACTATCTATACTAATATTATAAATGCGAAAGTAAATCTGTCTGTCTTGCTTTCACGTCTAAACCGCGATTTTGATGAAATTTAGCATAGAGATAGTTTGAATCCCGGGAAAGGACATAAGATAGTTTTTGTCCCGGTTTTTGAAACAGGGACGCGCGCGATAAAGTTTTTCTGTGACAGACAAGATTCCACGCGGGCGAAGGCGCGGGCGAAAAGCTAGTATTTAGATATATTTCTGTCATACATGATTTCTATGTAACTTTAACCATTAAGGCACGCGCACGCGACGGAAGCTTAAAAAATGGAGTAACTTCTCCCGTTTTCCCAAAATTTCCCTTCACTACTCTGCTCCTAAGTATACTATAACCTGCCCAGGAGTATGAAGAATAATTGTACCAAGTTTCGTTAAAATCCGTCGAGTAGTTTTTGTTTCTATAAGGAACATACAGACAGACAGACAAAAAGGACAATGTTCATTTCTGGCCTGGCGTGGACAAGCTGCTAATGAAAATATGAATTTGCCAAAATTTTTTTATTAATTTTTAANCTTTTACTGATTGCATTTTTGGCATCAGTATCGATCACTAATCACCCCCTGATAGTTATTTTGAAAATATGTATATTTCATGTACAGAATTGACCTCTCTACAGATTTATTATAAGTATAGATTTGTGCAATACGATAAAGTATTTCTGTGACAGGCCGTTATTCACACGCAGTCACAAGCAAAAACTAGTAAACAAAAAAATCTCTCAATTTAATATTTTTTTACAGAGAACCTGTCAAATGAAGAACGCACGTGGGAAGAGATCATGCAGATCAAAGCCATGCCGGTGCCCATGATACAGAAGCGGGAACTCAAGGCGAGGCTACAGGTGAGATGCGACCTTATTATAAGGCTATAAGTATTCATTTAGCTCAGTCTTTCCCAAAGTGGGCGATAACGCCCCCTTGTGGGCGCTGCAGGCTTAAAGGGGGGCGGTAAGAGACCCAGAAAAAATAATCGGGACGTTGTGTAGAGGCTTGGGAGGCGTCATCTACTAGGAGGACTCTTAGACACCGACTGAGCTCGACTCTTGACCACAAAAATGGGGGGCGCTAATAAATATTTTTTTCTCGAAGTGGACAGTAGACTAAATAAGTTTGGGTACCGCTAGTTTAGCTTGATATTATGGAGATCATGCAGACCAAAGCCATGGTGCCCATGATACAGAAGCGGGAACTCAAGGCGTGGCTACAGGTGAGAAGCGACCTTATTACAAGGCTATAAGTGTTCATTTAGCTCAGTCTTTCCCAAAGTGGGCGATAACGCCCCCTTGTGGGCGCTGCAGGCTTAAAGGGGGGCGGTAAGAGACCCAGAAAAAATAATCGGGACGTTGTGTAGAGGCTTGGGAGGCGTCATCTACTAGGAGGACTCTTAGACACCGACTGAGCTCGACTCTTGACCACAAAAATGGGGGGCGCTAAAAATAATTTATTCTCAAAGTGGGCTGTAGACTAAATAAGTTTGGGAACCGCTGCTTTAGCTTGATATTATGGAGATCGTGCAGACCAAAGCCATGGTGCCCATGATACAGAAGCGGGAACTCAAGGCGAGGCTACAGGTGAGATGCAACCTTATTACAAGGCTGTAAGTGTTAGTTTAGTATGATATTCTGATAACCGCTTAAAGAACGAAACACACTTATCAACCTGAAAAACGATCGTAATTCGTAACCGTATCAACTCGAGGCGGTCAATATTCTTTGTATGAAACTCTGTAGGTACTGCAACGCACACATATCTGCACCGTAACGTAAACGCCTCGCGACGAAAGGCGATGCGGTATTGATTCCTTTCCGGGTTTATAAGTGTGCTATGACCTTAATGCGTAATGTTATTAATGTTGCGAAAAGTTAAAGAACATATTTGGACCTTGAGATTAGAGTTAAAACTTAAAAGCAATGAAAAAATGATGGTTAATTTCTGCATTTAATTTCACCTAAGCCTGTTCTTAAAATGACCACTTCCAAGTGTGTGATGTATGTATGTATGGTATAGGTAAAAAGTTTTAGGGTTCAATTTTTCGTTTTTAGATACTAATATTGAGTAATTTACGATGATTTCTCCATTTAATTTCAAAGCCAGCATTTTGTTATGCATATTTTTGTGGATATAAGTAATCTGTCATTTAAAACCGGTTAATCTAAGGCTGAGTTGCACCACCCTACTTTTACCGTAACTATTACCATAACCGGTGTTTTTTGTATGGAGTTTGACAGACTTTGACGTTTGTTAAAGTAAAGTTTGGTGCAACCCAGCCTAAGAAAGTGGGCAAACTGAAATCTTATTGGGAAGTCATTGTGGTCCTGTAGAATAAATTCTTTACGTCGACTAAAATTGAACTTCTTTTGTTCTAGAACGCAACAAAACTCCGCTTGCAAGGTTTAGAACAACTGCATTGGAAGCAACGTAAAGTATGGCATCGGTTTCGCATCAGATGTGGCGAATTGTTAGGGAAATTGGAGCTATGGCAGTCCCCTATGAGAGAAATAGAGGGCTCCTTTGGAACCGGCGTGGTTTCCTACTTTCTTTTCCTCAGATGGTTATTATTTCTAAACCTAGCTATATCAGTGTTCGTCATACTATTTCTAATAGTCCCAAATACAGTTTTAGTTGAAGATAAACACGATTGCAACGACTTCGAATGGAATTCCACCGTTTGCTGCTCTCAGACGTACTTCGAAAGGAATCTGACGGATTCAAATGTGTTCTTAGACATCATACAAGGCACTGGTATTATGGAGCGAACGATTTTATTCTATGGGGTGTACAGCAACCAAATATACTCGTATTTCATCAAAAGCTTCTTCGAAACTAAAATGTTTTATAACATGCCTCTAGCGTATATACTCGTCCCGATTTCGTGGGCGTTGCTATCCTTGATAGCTATAGTCAAAACCGGAGCTAAAGGCTTCAAAGAAAAATTGGTGGAAAGTGAAGGACAGTTCTATATGTACTGTAACCTGGTATTTGGAGGCTGGGACTTCTGTATCCAAAATGATAAATCAGCTAAAATCAAACACAAAGCTTTGTTCAATGAAGTCAAAGGATGCTTAGAAGAAGAAAGGTTCAAAGAAGAAAAGCAGTTACGGACGAGAGAAAGCCAAATACTGCTGCATTTGAGAAGATTGCTAGTCAACATCATAGTTCTGATCATTTTGATTGGTTCAGGGATACTGATTTACGTGGTGTTCAATTATTCCGTAGACAGACTCAACGTTGAAAACGAATTCGACCCATACGAAACGACAAACGAACTAGATGACTATGACACTTTGAACAGAACGTCCGAAAGACTGACTCTGAGCCAATTAAGTCGCGATAGGTCAGTTTCCTCAAGTTTAACTAGAGACAGCACGTTTTTTGAGCAATTAGAAACAACGCTGCTAGAATTCCTGCCCTTCATATCCATTGTAGTCTTAAACATAATTGTGCCAGAAATCTTCAGCTACTTAATAAGCTTCGAGAACTATGCCCCAGCTAACATAATCATAGTGACGATTCTAAGAACGGTTTTGCTCAGGCTTTCGTCTCTAGCTGTTCTTCTGAGTCAGATATACATATACATTTACTCCAGCGGCCAAATATGCTCGAAAGGCAATGAAGATGCCAACCCATTAGATTGCTGGGAAACATACGTAGGACAGCAGTTATACAAGCTCATATTAACAGACTTCGCCCTACAATTTGTGACTACGTTCCTTATAAACCTACCCAGGGCTTTTATAGCAAGGCACACGTCCAGTCGATGCTTAAAAATCATAGGCGAACAAGACTTCTACTTGCCAAAGCATGTTTTAGACATCGTGTATACGCAAACTATTATTTGGATGGGATCATTCTTCTGTCCTTTTCTGCCCATCATAGGAACGGTTTATTACTTCATTGTTTTTTACGTCAAAAAGTTTACGTGTCTCACAAACTGCACGCCCTCTCCCGTTGTGTATAAAGCGTCGAAATCCAAGTCATTATTCATGTCAGTTTTATTACTAGGCTTCGTCATATCCATAGCTCCTGTAGCGTATTCAGTCGCAGAGTTGCTGCCTTCTATAAACTGCGGGCCTTTTAGAGGCTATAATACTGTGTGGGACTACGTTATAGAGACTTTTGAAAAGTTCCCGTACGTTTTGAGAGAGATAGTCTTCCTTTTAGGTACAGCGGTCTTCGCTGTGCCTGCGTTCGCTGTTTTATTATTCTTTTTGTATTATTACTGGGCAGTGGCGACAGCTAATAGGCATATGGTGACTGTTTTGAAGAACCAGCTAGTTTTGGAGGGCCATGATAAGCAATTCTTGCTGAATAGACTCAGTGCCTTCATAAGGCAGCACCAGAAACGGTGTGAGAGAAGAAATAGAGCTAGTTTCGCGGACGACGATACTGCATCCATTAGGCAGAGCTCGAGGTAAGTTTTAGTAATTAAAAATATCAGAACTGATTTAATCGAAATTAAATTTAGCCGCTAGCAAATTACGTACGTAATACGATATCCATAATTATCCGCGCAATGGTATCAATTACTAAACAGTACATAATAGTTACACGGTAAGGTAAAATAGGGGTTTTTATATAAAATAATGTAAAACAATATTTGAACGTAAGAAAAAATATGTAAATATGTTCGTTTGATATGTCAAAGAAAATCGGTTGAAAATGTATGTAATAAGTAAATGTTTTTGTAAAATTAAATTATTTGGAAGAATTCGCTTTGCGAGCATTCGTTACGCAAGCATTGTTACTCGAGTACTTTGCAAATCAAAACGTGAAGATTGACCATTTGATGATATGTGTGTACTACGATTGACTCGAGTGATGCACCCTGAGTTTTACAAGTCCCAAACTTGCCAATTCAGTGAGATCATAAAATAATGATCAATAACTATGAGACAAAAATGTTTTAACTCAACTGTGTTGTTAGAACTTTTTTAGTTACAGATTTTAGATTAGACGAATAGCCTAGCCACAAAAGCGAAAATCGCTTGTCCAATGAAACTCTTCGGCTCGCGAGCGAATGTGCTCGTGTAACAAACGCTCGCGTAACAAATGCTCGCAAGCCTCTTCCAGGCAGCTTCGGTTGTTATTTAANTCTAATGCTCGTAACTCAGTTCAGACTGAGTTTAGAGGTATACATGTCATAGTAAGTTTGATTTATTACACTATTTTGTAATCAAAAAACAAAGTTTGGTCGATGGCCGCGCGAAAAAAAAAAGACGCCAATTTCCGGCATTGTCTTTTAAGGGTAGGTAATCAAATGAAACAATGTATTACGAAAAATGAAATAAATTTGTATTTTCTTGAATCGAATCAACAAAAAAAAAACAAAATAAAATAAGTTGCTTCTGTCAACCCAAAAAAAAGTAATCTTATTAACAGTGTTGCCAGAAGGTTAGGTGTTGCCAGTGTTGCCTTTTAGGTTACTTTTGAACTGCATTGGTTACAGTCGTCTCAACTTAAGCTGAGAATTGCATTTGTGTGAGTGCACACCGATAGTGTAGAGTGGCAATCTGCTTGAAGCGCGGCGCGTCCCGCGCATGGTTTAAACCGGTTTATTTATAGCAAGCGGCCTGAAGCGCGGCGCGTCCGCCACGCACCGCTTCCTTGCCGCTCACATACCCCCGGTACTGGTAGCAGATACGTGTAATTTTATGTAATTGTGTTCCAAATATTAGTGAAATGGCTCCTACTGTAAGTAAATTTCCTGTACAAAATCCATTAAGCAGCCAAGTGAAAGAAATTTTATGCAAATTGAATACGTATTTTAAAGGTGTGAACGAAAAGTTTTTAGTCTGTTTTTATTTTGTAATTTTATAAAGTTTGTCTTTTTGTTGTATTTTGTAAGGCTGGCTGGACGCCCTCTCTATAAACGGTGCTCGCAGAATATCAGCGTCGAGGTACTTCGTGGCTTGGCATATGCTGAGCGAGGACCTGTTTTTATTTATTTATTTATTTAAAAGGATGTGTCAAGTGTCGTTACATCGGCCCAATTGGTAGCAAGTGTTTTATAGACTTCCTTTTAATAAAACATTAATTTTATTTGTATACTGTGTTTTACTAACGGTACTTTTGGCGATCACTCACACAAATGCAATTCTCAGCTTAAGTTGATAGGACTGTACTTTTGGGTTACACTAATGAAAAGGTTACTTTTAGGTGATTTTTCAGAAATTGTGGAATTAACTTTTACAGGTTATTCAGTAAAAAATATTAATAGTGACAATTTAAAATAATGTCATAAACTGCATTTAAACATGAATTTGATTTATTATTTGTTTAAAAAAATAGTTTTAGCGATTATTTTTCGATAATAAAACGCAAATCCATGAAACGTTTTTATACGACCCCGGTCACTTTTAGGGTCTTCATGGAATGGTCAAAATTTCAAATTTAGGTAAACGATCGATGATCAATAAATTGATTGTATTCATTTTCCATCCATCAACAACCTTACACAATCTCTCCGCATCCCCCCCTAATGAATGTTACTTTTTATTCAAAAAGGTTACATTTTTTATATTTCTGGTAATTTCTGACAAGACCCGACTGGCAACACTGCTTATTAATAAGGTTCATTGATTGGTACCTATGAGGATTGAGGAGCTCTACCTACTCATCGTCACTGTATGATAAGTGCTGGCTTGGACTTAGCGGGCCGGCCTCGTTTTCTTTTTTGTCCAATAGGTTTTGTCCAACTGATAAGTTTTGCTTCCAGTGGCGGTGTTGTTAGTTTGAGCCAAATTGCTAGACCCAAAACGTGTTAGCATACATATTTTGTTAAAAATTCGGGACAGTCGCCCCGCCCCTATTCGAATTCGCGCGCTGTAACAATCTGTAGTTTTCATTAATAAAGCGTATCAAAATAAAAAACATGAGACCTCAAATATAATATCAGTAACCAATAATCATTAATAAAGCAGCTCACAAAACTTTGCTTAGAATTAACTTTTTTGTAGTTTGTTCAGTAAAACCTCAATTAGAAAAATCTAATGTATCTTCATATTAAAGTTGCCCTCTCTGTATTTCTAGTCGCTCACTTAGTAATTTAGTCGCCCGGATAGTATTTTTATGTCTGAAATGTAATAATCAAAACACACATTTTGTAAGCTCGTTCTGGATTTTATTACTGATCAATATTCGTCGTTAGTTTGGTAAATTTTTCGCTTACTCAAATTCATACCGCTCAAGGTATTAAAACAGTATGCCATCATCAGTCGCAAAGTTTTTTTTTAGTCGCTCGTTTTATAATTCCCCTTAAGTAAATGTTTTTGTAAAATTAAATTATTTGGAAGAATTCGCTTTGCGAGCATTCGTTACGCAAGCATTGTTACTCGAGTACTTTGCAAATCAAAACGTGAAGATTGACCATTTGATGATATGTGTGTACTACGATTGACTCGAGTGATGCACCCTGAATTTTTTAAGTCCCAAACTTACCAATCCAGTGAGATCATAAAATAAATGATAAAATAATGATCAATAACTATGAGACAAAAAATTAAACTTTTTTAGTTACAGATTTTAGATTAGACGAATAGCCTAGCCACAAAGGCGAAAATCGCTTGTCCAATGAAACTCTTCGGCTCGCGAGCGAATGTGCTCGTGTAACAAACGCTCGCGTAACAAATGTTCGCAAGCCTCTTCCAGGCAGCTTCGGTTGTTGTTATTTATNTTATTTAATGTAATATTCTTCTCATTTTGTATCCATCCATTGTAGTAAGGAATATAACGTATGCTTCCAATTAGTAAAATTATATTTTTATTCGTTTTTGTTTTTTATATCACTGTAGTACATTCCTTCATGTAACTTAATGTTAATTTTATTTTTGTTTAAAACTGTATCCTTTTTGTTGTAGTTTTTTGAACGAGAATTTGTGACCGTTACTACTAAAAAACTTTTGTCCTTTTCTGGATAAAACAATATTTATTTAATCTTTTAGTAAAATTAATAAATCCATGACCCTGTTCCTGATTTTTAGAATACTCGAGCCATAATATTTTGTTTTTATCATAACCAATGACTTAGAATTAAGTAGAAAAGGCATTTGTGTATTTTAGAAAAAAATGTTTATTTATTTGCGGCTATGCTTTTAGTAATATTGAAATTTTATGAAGATTAAGCATGTAGTTGGTACAACTAGTCAATTGACATATTTAATTTGAGCTGTCAAAACATGACCGCCATTTTTGTATGGCAAGGGCAACTAATGACGTCATCAGTTTGCAAACCAACATTAATTGATTTCAAAGCTGCTAAAAATCTACAGCATATTAAAAACTATCGGTTCCTAGGCTAAAATAACGTTTGTTTGTTGTGTTTTTTTAAAGTTGTATTTTGGAATTTTTTGTCATCTACCCAATGTTTTTTCTTATTTTTAAATCTTAGAAAATAGTAAAAAGTAATTGTAAAACGTTCTTTGCCAACAATATAGTCCAAATGCATTACTCATTAAGTAGTAGATTTTTATAAAAAGCTACCACACTAAGTTGAGATTGTAAATCTGTAAATACATAGCATTTTGTAGTAAAATAGTGCATTTAGTGATCTCAAAATATGTGCAATCATTCATTAGAATTTTACCAATTATGCTAACTTAAAATGTTGTAATAACGTTTTAAAATAAACTTGCCACCCTGTATTAATCTAGGGACGTTTTGAATCTAAACTGCATACACATTCGTATAAATTACCATATTTGTATAAAAAAAAAGACAAATATTATTTAAAAAATTCATGTTGTTTCCAGCATTTTTGGGAAATTCTATGAATAGATTTAAAAATAAAGATAAGAAATATATCTGTACATTGGATCGTTTTATATCATAGTTGTATTGTATAGTCGGTAAAATATTTATTTACTATTATGTGCCGGATAANCTTCTCATTTTGTATCCATCCATTGTAGTAAGGAATATAACGTATGCTTCCAATTAGTAAAATTATATTTTTATTCGTTTTTGTTTTTTATATCACTGTAGTACATTCCTTCATGTAACTTAATGTTAATTTTATTTTTGTTTAAAACTGTATCCTTTTTGTTGTAGTTTTTTGAACGAGAATTTGTGACCGTTACTACTAAAAAACTTTTGTCCTTTTCTGGATAAAACAATATTTATTTAATCTTTTAGTAAAATTAATAAATCCATGACCCTGTTCCTGATTTTTAGAATACTCGAGCCATAATATTTTGTTTTTATCATAACCAATGACTTAGAATTAAGTAGAAAAGGCATTTGTGTATTTTAGAAAAAAATGTTTATTTATTTGCGGCTATGCTTTTAGTAATATTGAAATTTTATGAAGATTAAGCACAAAGGGTAGTTGGTACAACTAGTCAATTGACATATTTAATTTGAGCTGTCAAAACATGACCGCCATTTTTGTATGGCAAGGGCAACTAATGACGTCATCAGTTTGCAAACCAACATTAATTGATTTCAAAGCTGCTAAAAATCTACAGCATATTAAAAACTATCGGTTCCTAGGCTAAAATAACGTTTGTTTGTTGTGTTTTTTTAAAGTTGTATTTTGGAATTTTTTGTCATCTACCCAATGTTTTTTCTTATTTTTAAATCTTAGAAAATAGTAAAAAGTAATTGTAAAACGTTCTTTGCCAACAATATAGTCCAAATGCATTACTCATTAAGTAGTAGATTTTTATAAAAAGCTACCACACTAAGTTGAGATTGTAAATCTGTAAATACATAGCATTTTGTAGTAAAATAGTGCATTTAGTGATCTCAAAATATGTGCAATCATTCATTAGAATTTTACCAATTATGCTAACTTAAAATGTTGTAATAACGTTTTAAAATAAACTTGCCACCCTGTATTAATCTAGGGACGTTTTGAATCTAAACTGCATACACATTCGTATAAATTACCATATTTGTATAAAAAAAAAGACAAATATTATTTAAAAAATTCATGTTGTTTCCAGCATTTTTGGGAAATTCTATGAATAGATTTAAAAATAAAGATAAGAAATATATCTGTACATTGGATCGTTTTATATCATAGTTGTATTGTATAGTCGGTAAAATATTTATTTACTATTATGTGCCGGATAATGCATCTCAAATTGTTATTTAAAAATCGTTATAAAAAATGTTTAATTTATAAGTGTTTGGTGACTCATCTTTATGTAAATTATTAAATTATCACAATGAATGATAATTAATATTGGCACTTTTCAAAAATTAATAATATATCTGAGAAAATGTAGTTTTTGTGTTATATTGTCACAAATATTTTCCCTGTTCTGTAAACTATTGAGTATAATTATTTGAAAGTACCTATAAGTTTTTATTACATAAATATTATAACATCACATTTATATTTCGTCTAATGTAATTATATCTTGTGAAAAAAATTGAAAAACATCAACATAGTGTATACTCTCAAGGAATTACACATTTTCATAGTTACCCTGTATTTTTTCTATTTCTTTCGTTATTCTAGCACAATATGACAACGTAGATTGGGTTAGGTTACCTTTGTACTAAACACTGCCATAATACAGTCAAACTTTTTGAAATATGAATATACTATTGTATTATACTTTGTTTTTATTATACGTATACTATGAATTTGCTGTTTTATTTGTAAGTGTGCGTGTGTGTAAAAACTTCGAAATAGGACTAGGACCCTAACTGACATTACATATTAGGTATTAATTAAAACAACATTTTAATTACAATTTTTTATTACGAATCATTACGTCGTACACAAAATACAAAACTAATTTACTCTATTTGTATAATGTTCTTATACATGTAAACATTTAATAACAATAAAGACTTACATTTTTATAGAAATCTACGTTATAATATAACTATGCCATATTTAGTAACTCACAGACGTGCATGCATATTTTACGTGATTACGTGTATAAAATGTTTTAATTATCTATATAAAGAGAAAAAGCGGATTCTACATTGTATGTTTCTTTAATATGTGGACTGTGGAGGGTAAGATTTAAATGATTAAATTATAATAAACCCAAATGGACAACATACTACATCATGTAAATCCACGCAACAATAGCTGTTGTTAACATTGTATTTTTAAAATGACATTAAATATTTTTTCTTAAAAAAAGTGTACGTGTTGTGTGGTACAGTCTGTGTCAAATAGTTCGTGACACCCAAAGTAGCCAAAAAGTTCGCAACGTCGGTTAGGTAGGTTGTGTTGTCAACTTTTTGGCCACTTTGGGAGTCACAAATTATTTGAAGCTACCAACTACAAAAATAGCTTACAAAAAATGTTTTAAGTGAAAAAAATAGTACTCAAAATTTCAGCACGTCTGTGGTACCAAAATAATTCAGGCACATCACTAACCTAAAGATATATTTCCTATGTATACCCGTATAGGTACCGACTATAATTTGACTATACGTTGGTAATTTTAAACTTTACAGTCGCCCAGCACATCAAGATTTATACATTTTTGTAAAAAAATTACACTTGTTAAAATGAATAAAGTGCCGTAGCTTGTTGTGCTGTCGTCCGTATTATTTTAATAATGACATAGTTTTTACTATTTTTTTTACAAAAAAATATTGACATAATATGTTATTGTCTAATATTTATTTTACAATAAACAAAGTGATATAATTTGTACATAATCATCTGTACAATCAGTAACATATTTTTGGTTTCTAATAATTTATAAAAAAAATTAAGACTAGTGAACGGTAACAATAACTTATAAATATACTTTAAAGTAATTTTAGAATATATTAATTAATAATATTTGAACCAGTGAAACAAAAATAATTTGTTAAATCAATAACGTAATTTGAACAGGTATTAATTTGGGGCAATCATTTGAAAAAATAAAGTTATTCACGAATTTTTACAATAAATAAATGAAAAATATACATAACTTTTCTGTGGTAGGTTACGATGTATTTTTTGACTGTACATTTTTAATTTTTCTCAAATATTCTTTACTCAGACCAATTTTTTTTTAATTATTTCGCTAAATTCGTAGAATAAATCTATCTATACCCTGTTAACAGTACTCCATATAATAATTTTAAATATAATATACTTAAATTAAAACAAGTTACAGTACAATCGTACTCAATCGCCGAATCTTAAATCAATAAATTCGTTTGAATCAACTTATTTAACCTGAAACCAACAGAAACATAAGTTAGTCATATAAACGTGTATTATATTTAATCTTTAATGCCATTGGTAACATAAGGCGAACTTAATGCCATTGGGCATTCTCTGCCACTTAACCTTATTCAGTCGATTGCAAGTGACCGATGGGAGCAGAGCAACGTTCAACTCAATGAGGGTTTTCATGATTGGTGGATTTTGACATATCTGTCAATGTCATGTCAAAAATAACCAATCATGCAGCATTTGGTCCTCGCGTCTACGTATTGCCTTCTGGCGGATTTTCCAATCGCGAAAACCCTCGTTGAAACACTTCTCTTTCAAATTAATTTACTTTAAAAATCTCAATAATAACATAGATATGAAAGGAAACTTGGCCTGCACCTTATGGAAAACGATGATCAGGCCGAAGGTGGAAGCGAGCTTCACCAGGAATCCTCAACCATAGAGGATCGTTATCTTAACTCCATTTTGAATTTGAATGTCACTTAAGTAATAACCCAATTTCGTTGCCATTATAATTAATTGCCGTTAAAACAAATTACAAAAACAGAAGAAGCAGAATAACTTACTTGTCTAGTTGACTGCGCTGTGCTCAAAGTCTCCCTTGTCGAGATGCCTTTGCGCTTTCGGCTCGTAGATGAGCATAGACACGCGTTCAGGACTGGTTTTGTTGCGCTGCATGTCTGGAAACAATCGTGGTCTTTATTGCTTTGGCAACATCATCATCAACATCAGAGGTGGAATTGTGTAAAGCAATCGTTATCATTTGACAGTTCATAACGTACGATTATTCTGTCAAACGCTTTGTTTAACTGACTTTATGCTATGCTTTACACAATTCCACCTCTGGTCATTTAGACTCCACAGCAGGAGCACGACCTCTAATTTAGGTACCAGAGGCAAAAGGGAGGATTTAGCCTACACTCCCCACGTTGGGAATAATCTCCTTTAACGACATTCACGGGAAGAGTGGGCAGCTTGTCGGTTCTACACTGCTGGAAGAGATTTTCTGTGCGAAAACCTTTTGGGCCAAACAAAAAAATTATCTGACGGTGTCCTGTCTTCAATTGCCTTTAGTTGAAACTTAGGACGCGAAGTCTCGGCGACTGTTAGAGAGACTTCATTCTCCATTCATGGACTGTTCGACCCCATCGTTCATACATCCTATGGAATACTTACATCTCAAGGTCAGTCTCCACTCCAGTCGGGACTTCTGAAGACTTATTCTCCACCCTAGAACCCTTGAACCATCAGTTCCTGGAAATATTCACATCTCAAGCTCAGCCTCCTCTTATAGTAGATAATCGGATATCTCCAGCTGCCTCCATTCCAGGAAGGCTCATTCTCCACCCTACTCCCTAGAAATCTTTCGCAGTTCTTGCCAATACCCACATCTCAAGCTCAGCCTCCACTTGTGCTGCGTGGATATCTCCGAGGAATCAAATCAAATCAAAAGTATTTATTCAGTTTAGACCACAAGTGGCACTTATGAACGTCAAAATATAGTAAATAATAAAAAAAAAGAAAAGGTAGCCCTTATGGGGCACTTTACATGTCTCCTTATCTTTTGGGCCCTACCAGCGCTTCGAGACAAACATTTGGCAAGTGCTGAGAAGAAACGCCGGAACAAACTCAGTCACCACTAATTGCCAGGAATTATCTAACGGTAAGAATAGTCAAATTCGAGTACATCAAATCTCCGTTCCGTTCGGGACTTGGGACTCATTCTCC